GAGGTGGGACAATTTCTTGGCTCAGATTTTCTAGACTTATAATTATTCTTAGACTTTTTTCCTTTTAAAAGGTATATGAAATATATAACTAAATGTTTATTTCTTCATTTTTTCCATATGAATGAATTAACCAATTGGAAAAAGTCCTTTGTCAGGCCATTTCTTAGAGATGTATAAACAGGTGGAAGAGGAAGCTGGAAATGGAGGACTCCAAATGCTAGCTTGTCCTCGACTTAGCCAGCAGTGGGAATCAAGGAGAGCCTACAGTGAGGAGTGGAGTGTGGGAAAGAGGGAAAAGGATGATGTGGTTTAAATCACTCTCGGTGGTTCAGATCTTGTTTCTCTTGAGACAATCTGCACAGCTCGTGTTCTTTTGTTCACTGATCATCATATATCTATGCTAGATATCCTCACACAAATTATCCTTTTTGATATATTGGCGGTAACAGTAACAATAGCAATATGAACAATAACAACAACCACAACAATGGCTCGTTTCCTTGATTCATTCATATCTCTGCTCTAATGTCTCTTTCTCTAAGACCTTCCTTGACCACTCGATCTAAAATAGCCTCTTCTTACCCTGGTTAGTCTCTAGCACTTACTCTGCTTTATTGGTTTATAGCATTGTTAACCGACATAATGTTTTTTGTGCTTCAGTTGAAATATTTTCATTAACCATTATTCGTTTCTTTTTTTTTTTTTTTCTTTTAGAGACAGGATCTCACTCTGTCTCACCCAGGCTGCTATAGTGCAGTGGCTTGGTCATAGCTCATTATAAACTTGACTCCTGGACTCAAGTAATCCTCTCACCTCAGCCTCCCCAGTAGCTAGGACAACAGGTGTCTACCACTACACCTGGTTAATTTAAAAATTTTTTTGTAGAGATGGTGTCTCACTTGCTATATGCCCAGGGTAGTCTTGAACTCTTAGCCTCAAGCAATTCTCCCACCTCAGCCTCCCAAATTGCTGGGATTACAGGTGTAAGCCAGTACACCTGAAGATTTTGGAGGATACAATCTTCCTCTGGAGAGAATTTAATTTTTTCTCTGTTTGGCAGTTACAGTAAGGGCAGATCACCTCGATCCACTCAGGGATGGAGATAGTTTACTTTTAGTTTCAGACTTTTGGAAGACTGGTCTATTTATAGTTTTTCTTCATTTCTATGAAGTCTGTCAAGGTTTTCAGCTGAAGATTTTAGTTTTTTTACCAAGACCCCTCCTCTTTTGTTGATCCTGAAATCCAAATTAATGAATCTACTAAAAACTGATTAATTTTTTAAAATAGACTTTATTTTTTAGAGCAGTTTTTTAGGTTCACAGCAGAATTGAGTGCAAGGTACAGAGACTTCCCGTATACCCTCTGCCCCCACGTATTCATCGCCTTCTTCATTAGCAACATTGCCCACCAGAGTGTACATTTGTTACAACTGATGAACCTACACTGACATATCATTATCATTCAAAGTCCATAGTGTGCATTAGGGTTCACTGTTGGTACTGTACATTTTATGAGTTTGGACAAATGTATAATGACATGTATCCATCATTATAGTATCATACAGAGTAGTCTCATGGCCCTAAAAATCCTTTATGCTCCTCCATTTGTCCTTTCCTTCCCCTAATCTCTGGCAACCACTAATTTTTTTTTACCATCTCCATAGTTTTGCCTTTTCCACAATGGCGTGTAGTTGGAATCATACAATACATAGACTTCTCAGACTGACTTCTTTCACTTAGTATTAGTAGTATGCATGTAAGTTTTCTATGTGTCTTTTCATGGTTTGATAGCTCATTTTTTAGCACCGAATATTCCGTTGTTTGGATGTATTCCCAGTTTATTTAGCCATTCACCTACTGAGGGACATCTTGTTGCTTCCAAGTTTGGGCAATTATGAATAAAACTGCTATAAACATCATTGTGCAGATTTTGGTGTGGACATAGTTTTTAACTCCTTTGAGTAAGTAACAAGGAGTATGATTGCTGGATCATATGGTAAGAGTATGCATAGTTTTATAAAAACAAAAAAATACCAAACTGTTTCCAAAGTGGCCGAACCATTTTGCCTTGCCACCAGCAATGAATGAGAGTTTCTGTCGCTTCACATTCTTGCCAACATTTAGTGTTGTAAGTGTTCTGGATTTTGGCTATTCTGATAGGTGTGTAGTTGTATCTTGTTGTTTAAGTTTGCATTTCTCCGAGGACATGCATTGTGCAGCATTTTTCATATGCTGATTTTCCATCTGTGTATCTTCTTTGGTGAGGTGTCTGTTAATATCTTTGGCCCATTTTCTAATCAGGTTTTTTGTTTTCTTATTGTTGAGATTTAAGAGTTCTTTGTATATTTTGGATAACAGTCCTTTATCAGATATGTCTTTTGAAAATATTTTCTCCCAGTCTGTAACTTGTCTTTTTACTCTCTTGACAGTATCTTTTACAGAGCTTTAATTTCCATTTTTAATTTAATCCAGCTTATCAGTTTTTCCTTTTATGGATTTTACCTTTGGTGTTATATCTAAAAAGTCATCACCAAACTCAAAGTCATCTAGACTCTCTCCCACGTTATTTTCTAGCAGTTGGGGTATTTCCCTTACCCCAGGTTAGTTAGGCTCTGAAAAAACAAAAAACTCCAGCAGCTGGGCAGAAAATGCCTATATTCCCAGTTACTTGGGAGGCTGAGGTAGGAGGATTGCTTGAGCCCAGGAGTTTGAGGCCAGCTGGGGCAACATAGTGAGACCCTATCTCTAAAAAGAAAAACATAAAAAAACTCCAGCAGATTAGGCTCCCGTTAAATAGTTTCTCCTGAAGGCAGACCTTGTTAAGAAGAATAGAGTGCTCTGGCACATTTCCAAATGGTTCCTTTTCTCCTTCCCCTGCCAGAAGCACAAGGAGATTTTTCTCTGACATGCACTGTGAGAACCTGGTAGAGCTCCAGGAGCTCACAGAAATGTGGGAGCCCTCTGATGTCTGGGTATTCCCAGTGTTTTTAACTTTTAGACATGTCCATACTCAGCCTCCAGCAATTTGTCAGTTATAGTTCACATTTCCCTACCCCAGCACTGATTCCCGTGTAGGTTTCAGCTCTGGTAAGTTGTGATTCTCTGTATTCTCCTCCCTGTCTCTCCAGTTTTGATGACAATGGTTTGCCCTGTATCCTAATTTCTCTTACAGATCTAAAAGAGTTGTTGATTTTTTTTTCAGCTTTTTACTTTTTAGGATGGAATGGCCACTTCCAAGCTTCTTAGCTGCTGGACCAGGTTTGCTTAGTTTTTTAGCCTTAGTTTTTTCCCCTATTGTCTTTCCCCTGAACAGTTTAGGATTTAGCAAATGCCTCAAGGGTAAAATTCATGTAGAATGTCAACCTCACTTTTTTGTTGTTCTCTTTTCTCTGGAAAATTTGTCCCTCGAGTCCTGGCTGCCTTCCTAACCATGAATTACAATGTTTGCCTTCCAAGCCCAGTAAAACTACCCAAGGTCTATGTAGGCCAATGCCAAATGCCCTGATCGGAAAATACAATGAGAAATGTTTGGCTCACCTCAGTGAGTGCATTTCCCTTCTTTACAGGGTCTGGCCCCCCAGGTGTTGATGGCCTCAGTGTTCCCTAGCTGATCTCTTGTATCGTGAAGAACTGTTTTTATAAAACAAATTTTATCCAGGTTTTACATTGTTCGCATTATACAATATTTTCTATACAACTGTGTAAGGTGGAAATTTAATGTGATATAAGATTGCTCAATCATAGTTGGGGGCTGAGGTCTTAATCTTGAATTTTTAATTTTAATAATCATATTTCTTCTCTAGAAGTTCTATTTGGTTGTTTCTCAAGTCAGAATTATCTTTCTTGGTGTTTCTATCTCATGTTTACTATTACTTTTTAAAAATGATTTTAATCACTTAAAACATATTTTTTAGTTTGTGTCTTATTTGATTATCTGAAATTCTCAGGGGTCTAATTTCAATTATATGTTATCTTCTGACTCTTAGTTTCTGTTTGCTTCTGCCAGATGCCCCAAGAGGGTATTAGCAGCTGAGAACCAAATTTTATGTTAATTTCTTGGCTTGAGATTTCTGAGGCAATACAGCTATTGCATATTTGAATGTCAAATGTGAGTGAGTAGAGAGATATGGTTGTAAAATATGAAGGGAGATTTTTTTTTCCACTCAGAGTTCAGCCATATACAAGATAAGCTTTCTTGTCATTTTGTTTACTTGTGAGTGAAGGTTTTCTAGGTCATCCTTTCACTTAAAATATGGACCACATGTAGGATTCCAACTTTATATGTGTATATTAGCTACACCTCTACATAATTACATGGGCTCAAGGCCTTGGCTTTTGTTTCAGCGTGGCCATTAGGATCAGCCCATATGTTAGTGAAACCAGCATAATCCCCTAGAGCAGCTGAGAAATCAGTACCTACTGCTCACTCTGATTTTCAGTTTCTTTTTGTATAATCTCCAGGGAATTTGTCTCATTTTCTTGTGAGCTCAGCTGTGCATATGTAAAGATATTTGTATACTTTGTTCATCATTTTAAGGGTTTTCTTAAGGCAATGATTTTCAAGTTTTTAGCTCTCCAGAATTACAGAAATCAAAGTCTTAACTGACATAATTTACTTTGCTGGCTTGTAGCAGGACTTAATAAATGTCGACTATTAATATTATTAAATACCATCATTATTGTTTTTACACAGTACAGATAGTACTGTGTAAGCATGCTATTAAAACAATAAAATCTGGCCTATCAAAATAGTTAAAAGCATATCACTTTTCTCCCAACTACATGTTCCCCTTCCTTTAAAACCCTTATTTTAAAACTTGTATTTCCTTAGGGAATCTAGAAAATGTTGTGGCTTTGTCGATTTTAAACATTGAAAGATATATCTGGGAGTATATATTTATGTGTAAATCACTTCACATACAACATATATATTATTTATATTTGGCTTTAAAAATTTTACATTTTGCATGAGGTTGTATATTCTTTTTTTGCATTTTGTAGGAGGATACTTCATCGAGACTTGAAATCAAAGAATATATTTCTAAAAAGCAATCTGCTTAAAATTGGTAAGATTTTAAAAAATGTATTTCAAAAACACAGGAAAGTGTATACTCTAGATGTTATCATATCAAATTGAAGTATATGGAAGGGTTAGAATAATCATTGGTTTATTTAAACTTCTGAAATTTTTGTTCTCATCTGGATCAGCCCCCAAAAACCCTGTTATTTTATTTCTGATTATCTGATATAAATCGAGGTATAAAGCATTTACTACAAACTTGGTAGATTTAACAAATATACTTTGAGTTCCCTGCTTCAAGCCAGGTACTTTGCAAGTCATTAGACTTGTTTTACTGGTTTGATTAATTACTGCAGGTTTCTACTTATTTTATCACAAGCAATAAGTGATTATCATAGATATTTAAAATGTTGACATAATGGCTTTACTAACCTTTAGTTATTCAAAACTGTACCAGTTACTGGGTTGTCGAATCATCATGTAGGATGTTCTTAGGAAGGAAGGAATAAAAGCATTTCTACTTTAGGAAAGAAGAGAAAAGCTGATGGATTCAAATTTTTATACTCATGTTTTTGAATAGTCTCAGGTCTTTTCTTAAAAATTTTTCCTTTATTGTAAATGAAGAACAAACTCTTCCCTGCCCCTGATAAAATCGCACATTATCATATTCAACTTGTCCAGAATCGTTCTGTTTGCTATTATTCAGACTTGAAATAACTTTTTACATAAAGTTGTCTAGCTTTCCATAATTCCATAAATAAAGAATTTTAGCTTACATAATTCACTTTCCTGGCTCAAAGGTGTCTTTCTTCTATAAAGCTTATGTTTTTAAAGCTATTTACCAGCATTGTGTAATTTAAGATACTAATATATTACTTTTCTAGCCCTTTAAAATGGTATGAACAATTGCATAATAAAATCATGAAATTAGGCACTCATTCAGTTGTTAACTTCCAGGGCTGACTTTTGTTGTTTTAAAGTATTTATAAAAATCAATTATTATTTCAAGGGGATTTTGGAGTTTCTCGACTCCTAATGGGATCCTGTGACCTGGCCACAACGTTAACTGGAACACCCCATTACATGAGTCCTGAGGCTCTGAAACACCAAGGATATGACACAAAGTCGGATATCTGGTGAGTGGCTGGTTCAGATGACTTCTTCATCTGCTGCCCTAAGAGAGTGATGCATTTTGTTTTTAAGCTCATTTACTTAATATATCCACTCGCTTTATCCCCTTAACATGAATCATTCCTTGACCAGAACAAAAGAAAGTCTTTTCCACTTGGCACATGATAAATTTCATTAAACTGGTTTCCAAAATTCTCTTTATTCATTTATTAATTGGTTAATTTGGAATTTTATTCCTGAACCACAAGGGAAAGTTCTTGATGTACCATGAACATGAAATTTTGATATAGTTCTGCTAACCTATTAAATAAAGTATTTATAACCCTAAATACTGTGCTTTAAGGTTAACTTCCATCTCTGTGGGGAATGTACAGCTTTTCTGTATTTTTTTCTTTTTGTTACTTTTAAGAATTTTACTAAAGATATTGGCTTTAAGGATAAACTAAATTAAAAAATTTCTGGATTTTCAGTGATGGATGCATCTGAGATTTCTCTGTTTCTCTGAGCTCTTTTATCAGGGAAATTTTTCTTTCCTTGTCATGGAACCAGTTTAAATCTCACTGCAAAGTCATGTGGAAAATTGTGTTCATTATGTTCTATTGTAAGCAATAGATCCTATTTGAGGAATATTTTTCCTTTGAAGAGGAATCTTACGTAATTTTCAGCGTGTTAAAGATTGAAAGAACAATCTAGCTGAGAGCTTGTTAATTAAGTAAATAATTATTGTATGCAAATCAACCTAAGTAATTCTCAGTTTTCAAAGATGAGCAATGTAAAAGATGTCCCACTTCATTCTTCTAAAGAAGACAAAGTAGAAAATTACTCTTTCTCTGGTTAGGGAAAAGTGAACCACAACAGGGCATATGGCTTGGGATTTTCATAAGGGTCATTATTTATGTTCTTGTTCTTATGCCTTCCAAGTGGGAGAACACACTGTCAAGGTTAGGTATGGCTATGGCAGTTCACCATAAATCCTGTCCCTTCAATTCAGTCTTGTGATTATTCATTTATAGGTTCTTCACTGGATTTTTTCATTGTTACCTTACTTCTGCTTTGGAGGTGTTTTCCAATTCACCTATCATCTTCCCTCATCCTTCCTCCTAATCCCCTTCATATCCCTCACCCCCCAAAAAGAAAAAGAAAACTCCAACCAAACAGAAACCAAACATTATAAAGCTTTGCTCAGAGGAATGAGTTCCTTTACATTTTGCTTTATCGAGCATCTACTATTTGCCCAAGACAATGCACTGTCCCTTAGGGTGTAAAAGCAAAAGTGATAAGATTCCTACCCCTCAGGAGAAATCTTGCTTCTTTTGGAGTCCCTCTTTCCATTTTGCAAAAATCAATATTGGGCTTCAGGTTGAATTTCAATTACATACTTATATCTCTCTTCACACTTAATTTTGTGAATTATTATTATAGACATTTAAAAATAGATTCAAATACGTAATATCTTCATGATTTAAGTAAGATTACATGGTATCTAAGGAATATGTTACAACATGTCATTTGACTTAAGAGTAAGTTAATTTATGAAACCCATCATTTAAGTTTTTGAAATTATATGTAATAATAAACCTACTCTTTTTGACAGGCATCTGCATCTGCTTGCCAAATCAAGTGGATATCTCCTAGAAAACTGAGGCAACAGAACTCACAGAGAGAAGAGTAAAGCATAGAGTATTTGTCTCAGTTGTGTCAGTGTTACTTCTTTTTTAAAAATTGCTCTTAGTATGCATGAAGAATTATAGGTATATCAGATAGTATTGCTATCATATTTCAGGGTTACAAAAATATCTGACTCAGGAAAAACTTAAAACAGCCAAAACATCCCAAATATACAATTGTAGGCAGATTTAAATGTATTTTTCTGAGCATTAGGTCAGTTCTCCTCGCAGAGATTATTAATTTTTAACAAGTACAAGCTGAGGATTCCTCATCATCCTGACCCCAAATAACTACCTTATTATGAATTTAGTAATTTTTTTTTTAGACTAGTCAAGTGCAGTAGTGAGGAGGGGGGTTAAGCAGTAGAACAAGTAGTTCAATCTGTAACTGAATTTAGTAATTACCTTGGTTGTATCTGAATAAAAACAGGCTTATCTGGTAATGAAATTTCTATTGCCAAATCTAAAGTGGAAAGAATAACAGAGAACTATTAATTATAGTGACAAATACATAAGTGTGATGAGTAATCTTTGGAAGACACTCTTAGAAAAATTTGATTGAATGGGGTTGAGAACCTATCTCTGAATCTCAGTGTGTAGCATCCTTTTATTGTGGAATATGTTTTGTAGAATTGAAAACACTTTTGAGTAATTGGCAGGTGTTTTGTTTTAGCACTAATAGTTGTACATATTATATTTATAATGTTTAAAGAAGAATTGAGCTAACATTAATTGTATTTTCATCTGTTAATATTTGCCCGTATGTAAAATTATCTTCCTTCTGCAATCTGTTAAACCTTTCTGGCTTCATTTATTTATAGCCTTGAAGTACAGGAAGTCTTTCTTTTAAAAATGGGTTAGGTTTCAAAAGTTTATAAAGAGTTAATTGGAAAGTTAGGATAATTAGGTTCACTGAGGGCATGGCTTTGAACACAGCTGATCTGTGTAAGCAATTATTGAATACATTTTCCTTACAGGAGAGTTGGGTTCCTAAGCCAGCTCTTTAAGTTAATTTATACTACGAATAGTTAGAATATATTATTTTGGTAGGAGAAACAAATAAAAGACAATAAATACTATTGGAATAATGGTACTGTAATTACATAGAAAGGAAACAATATTTCATTGTTTGTTTTATTTATCTTGTTGCTAAGTCAACCAGATGGCTCTTTGGTATTTAGGTAGAGGGAATGGTGGTGGGAATAGTGGGGGCATCAGTGTGTACTGTGAAGCTCTCAGGAGTTTGCCCAGAGATCCCGTATGGAGATTGGCAGGATAGGGGACACTGAAGGAGTCTAGTTCATGTCCCAAAATGGAGTCAGGCTTTAGTGATCTTGGGCAGAAGTGTCAGACAAGGCTTAATTATGGGTAGAAGAAAACAGAAAGTAACTAGCACCTGGCTAACCTGCCAGGACCAAGAAAGTGTCCTCACAGGAAAACATTTCCAGGGTGAACAGGGAAAGCGGGTAGAGAGGGCAACAGCCTGTTTTCTGGAGAAACAGAGGCCAACTTTGCAGTAGTTCCTGTAATAAAAATGGAGCCTGCTAATAGCTGGCAGCCAACAGTCCCATGAGCTGCCTCTTGGTAAAGGAAACTCTGGAGCAAGAGAGCCTATTTCTCTCATCTGCCTGTGGCCTAGACAGTTCTTGTGTGGGCTCAGAAACAAGCTGTTGCACAGGGAGGGCTTTCCAAGGGAAAAAGGACCGATTTTAGTATTTTCACCCAACAAAAACTGAGATAGGAAAATATATCAGTCAGATGCAGTAGATTTGAGCATTAATATTATTTTTTCAATGACCAGCATAAAATGATTGATACAAACTCTGCAGATTGGCCTGATGAATTTTAAAAGGGTTTATGACATAGCTAATAAATCCTTGTTAAATTGATATTGGTTATGATGAAAATAAACACAATAGCAGCAACAAAACCAGGAATAACTACCCTCTGTACAGTGCTTACTCTCTGATTAATTGATAGTTAATGTGTTAAATGTGTTATATACCTAAGTCTATTTGTTATTACAAAATAATAATTATACTATATGCAATTTTATAACCTGATTTTTTTCCACTTAGCAAAATGGAACATTGCTCTGCATCAATATACCATTTAAATGTTTGCATAGAATGCTATACTTGTACACAATAATTTATTCAACCAAAGTCTTACTGTTTTCTTGGTAAATCATCTGTCTTTCCACATTTTTAATATGAGGAATCTGGTTGTGCATTTGCATTTGTCCTACTTGGAGGTAGTTGAGCTTCTTGGATGTGTAAATGGATGTATTTCATCAAATTTATGGAGTTTTCAACCATTATTTTTTTGAATACTTTTTTCTTTCTGTCTTTCCTTCTAGTACTGTCATTATATGTATGTCATGCTTAATGGTGTTCCACATTTCTTTGAGGCTCTGTTCGTTTTTTTGATGCTCTGTTGATTTTTCTTCATTCAGTTTTCTCTCTGTTCTTCAGATTGTATAATCTCTGTCTGTTGCTCTTCAAGTTCATGGATTCCTTCTTCTGTCAGTTAAAATCTGTTCATTCCCCCTACTGAATTTATTTCCATTATTGTACTTTTCATCTCCAAATTTTCTATTTGGTGTTTTTTTAAATGTAATTTCTCTATTTATTGATATTTTCTACTAGATGTGATATTTTTGTCATACATCTTTAAACTTTTATTTTTATTTCTTTGAACACATTTATAATGACTTCTTTGAAGTCTTTGTTAAATCTAATATTTCGAGCCCTCTATCTGTTGCCTGCTTTTTTCCTGTGTATGCATCACACTTCCTGTTTCTTTGCATGTCTCATAACTGTTGAAAACTGGCCATTTTAGATAATATATTGTAGCAACTCCAGACATTTTTTCTCCCTCACCCCATTCCACCCCACTTCCCTGAGGTTTGTCATTTGCATGTTTGCTCATTTAGTGACTCGTCTGGAATATTTTAATAAAAATCTATTTTCCCTGAAGTATGAAGCCTCTGATGTTGCTCCTCAGAGAATGCAGCCCTGATCCTACACAACCTGGGATGACAGTGATTTTAGCTAGGACTCTATCTCTTTTCCTGTTCTCTCCATTAAGCTACCTTTGTTGATATCACATCCAGCTGTTAGCCTCCACTAATTGATCTATTGTTTGCAACGATGCCCCAAAAAGGCATAATTGTTGTCCAGTCTCTTCTAATTAAATTTGAGCCTCTTTGCAGGTATAGTTTTTGAGGCCAGTTTTTGAGGTTTGTTCTGCATCCAGAGGGTTCTTCTTGTCTTTTTTCTGATTCTTTCTAATAAACTAGCTGACCTATGGTTTGGCTTGTTGCTCTCATGGAACTA